TCCGGCTCACACGTTTTTGTCTCCGCTCAGGAAGGAGGCCTCCAGAGCAACCAAATTCATGCAGCAGCCCAATGGCTCGCTCACAACTTTCATGCCAGCAGCTCAAAAGCAGAATTTTTTCTCACAAGTCTCCACAGCTTAGAGGGAACATGGGGGGGGGTGTTTAAAAAACAATCACCGCACCCCACACACGCACCTCGTCCTGTTATTTTAGAAAGTAACCCCCCCCCTTTCAAATTATTTGGCTTCTGTTTCGGAGGAGGGAGATCAGCGTTTTGAAGGCCGCGGAACCTGTTGAATTCGAACCGACTGGGCATGGGGGAAGGGGGGGAGCGAGCGAAGCGAAGTGCTTTCGAAATACAGGGCGCTTTAAGATCAGGGATCTTTAACGCGATGGCGAACTAACAGGCCTTTCCTGAAGACGTGAGCAGCGACGCACGGAAGCTCAAGCCCTGCCACCTATTTTGTTAGTCTCTAAGGTGCCGTTTTGCTCTTTTCTACGGCCGCAGACAGCCTAACGCGGCTACCCTTTTCAAAGGCGGAGAAAAGGCGTGGGGGGGGAGGGCGTCCTACCTTTGAACAGTGAGGCTCCCTCCGAGAAGCACAGTGGAATCCTAGGCAGGATTACTCCAGTCTAGGTCCATTGAAGCGAATGGGCCCAGAGCTGAGTCAATCTGCAGAGGATATCCGAAGAAGTGTGCGTGCACGGGAAAAGAGAGCTGACACCCAGAATTAAGCTCGGTTGGTCTTGAAGGGGCCCCACCGGACTCCAGCTTTCTTCTGCTGCTTCAGACCAACACTGCGACCCACCTGGATCTATCTGCAGAGGACAGGACTGTAAAAAGACCCTGTCTGCTGCTCAGAACGGGGGTGGGGACGACGACGTTCACCAGTGCTCTGACTCTTTTGCTTGGGAGGAACCGAAAATAAGCACACACACCCAGGAGACAGCGAAGTCCAAGTTAGCGCTCCCCGGAACTGGAAGACGCTTTTCGGTTCTCCCAAGCACCCTAATAAATAATCCACGCGGGTCCGAAGAGGCAAAAGGAACACGGGCCGGTTTGGGGATTCTCTGGAGCCAGTGAACTGAGAGGGGCGGAGCCAGGGAAACGAAAGGACTTCCTCTCGGCCAATCAGGGAGCCTCGAGAGCCGGCTGCTGCCCGCCGAGCCTCCTGCGATTGGCTGCCGGCGCGGCGTTCGAACTTCGAGAGGCTCTCTCCGCTGTTCGGTGCGTTGAGCCAAGGGCATCCCCTAGCGGTGCGTTCAGACCCGAGAATCGCCAGGTTGTCTCGCTGGTGGCAGGTCGGCCCCAGGAGCGCAACAAGTGGCCTCGTCTGCCTTTTCCAGCCCCTGGCCGGCCCCTCGCCCCCTCCACCGCTCTGCATTCAATGAAACGGCAGTGAACTCTTCGAGGAACCAAACCGCGGGCGTAATTTGGAAAGAGGGTCGATTCACCTCTGCCACTGAAAGTCGATTCCTTTGCAAATAATGCAACGGGAGGAGAACATAAGAAGAGCCCTGCTGGATCAGACCAGCGGTCCATCTAGTCCAGGATTTTAAGAACATAAGAAGAGCCCTGCTGGATCAGACCAGTGGTCCACCTAGTCCATCGTCCTAAGAACATCAGAGGAGCCCTGCTGGATCAGACCAGTGGTCCATCTAGTCCAGCATCCTAAGAGCATAAGAAAAACCCTGTTGGATCAGACCAGTTGTCCACCTAATCCAGGATTCTAAGAACATAAGAAGACCCCTGCTGGATCAGACCAATAGTCCATCTAGTCCAGCGTCCTAAGAACATCACAAGAGCCCTGTTGGATCAGACCAGTGGTCCACCTAGTCCAGGATTCTAAGAACCTAAGACCCATCTTGGATCAGACCAATAGTCCATCTAGTCCAGCATCCTAAGAACATCAGAGGAGACCTGCTGGATCAGACCAATAGTCCATCTAGTCCAGCATCCTAAGAACATCAGAGGAGACCTGCTGGATCAGACCAATAGTCCATCTAGTCCAGCATCCTAAGAACATCAGAGGAGACCTGCTGGATCAGACCAATAGTCCATCTAGTCCAGCATCCGGTCTCACACAGTGGCCAACCAGTTCCTCTGGACGGCCAACAACAGGGCATAGAGGACGAGGAGAAGAGACATGTGTTAGGGGACCCTTGTATTTTGTTAAAAACGAGATTTTTAAAACATTTCAGGCTGCGCACCTACTCTTCTGGATGTAAAGAGGGGGACAGGTGAAGAGAGTGAGCGGTTTTTGTTTTTTTTCCTTATGGGTGAGAGGACCCCAACAGAAACAGACTTGAAATTCCAAAATGTTTTCCCGGTCGCCTTCATTCAGCGTCTGAACTACCTTAATCCCGTAGATTAAGAACCTCACCCAGTCTCTCAAGGGACTCGCGCTCCAGAGTTTAGGCGTTTTACTCAAAAGTAAGCGTCGCCTGGCTCAGTGCCGTTTGCCCCTCAGCACAGACGCGCAGTCCGGTTCTTCTGGCCCTGTTTGTTCCGAAGCGAGCCCATTGATTCGGGGGGGGGCATTTGCTCCCATGCAAACGCTCATAAGATCGCCTGCTGGATCTAGTCCAGGGAAGGCTCGCTTTCAGAGATTTCCATCTCGATTTTTATGGGGATTAGACGACCCAAAACGTTTCGGTTTAACTAGTCTGTGGGCGGGTTCCTTACGACACCTTTTTTATTACCCAGTTTATATCCCTACCCCTGTTTTAATGCAGTTGTTAGAAGGGGGAGGGGAGTGGCCCGTAGCTTTACACATTCGCTTAACACACCAGAAGAAAAAAGCCGGCGAATTTCGGTGGACCTCACCGCTCCCAATAGCCCTCAAACGCCAGCCAACCACAAAGACCAGAGAATCTCCAAGGCCAATTCATTTCACATTGACGCTGGCCTTTCTGGGAACGAAATGAAAATAAGCATTCGAAGTGCATTGATTTTTCTCTTAAATAGGGTTTATTTTGCTTCATTCCGAAATTGACAGCCGAATGGGGTATTTCCCACACCCACCCACACCTGTGGCTCCTTTAAAAAAAAAAGTTGGATTTTTTTCAGCTTGGTTAACAATTCTGCGGTTCTTCTCTGGAAATTCGCATCGGGATTGGAGTCCGGAACAATTCGGTCCGGACGACTTCGCCATTCGTTCTTCCCCATCACCTCTGGGATTGGGAGGAGGGAGGGAGGAAAGGAAGGCCCCCCTCGGCCCCCCTCCAGAGTCTCATTAAGTGGCCAGATTAATTACTTCTTTTTTCCGAAGCTCCTTTGCCAAACGTGGACGCAGCCAAAAGCCCAGAGAAATATCCGTCCCCCCCAAAAAAACGAATATAAAAAGTCAATTAAGGGAAGGTTCCTGTTCCATACTGTTTCCAATAAATTAGTGGGGGGGGATACATACAGCTCTGTTTTTTTTTCTTTTGAAAACTTCCCAGAAATCCATTCAGCTTCCTTTAAGACACTGAAATATTACCTGGGATACTTTGGCTTTTTAAAAAACACAAATTAAAATGGAGGCGATCCTCCTAAACGAAGCCCCAACGCTCCCTCTAAACTGTGGAGTCTTTGGTCGGGGTCACAACACCGCCTAGTGACCCCGGGTCCTAAAGAGGCCAGGCTTGCTGCCACAAGGGCCAGGTCCTTCTCGGTGGCGGCTCCTACCTGGTGGAATGAGCTCCCGGAGGAGATCAGGGCCCTGCGGGACCTCTTACAGTTCCGCAGGGCCTGCAAGAAGGAGCTCTTCCGCCACTGCCACCACCACCGTGTAACTGCAGAGCAGGACCGCTGGGTTAGGCCGATTGGCCACGTGGAACATCTTAGCCCATGGCATCCTGGCATCCCCCCTCTTTGATCCCACCGCAATATACAATAGGGAGTGAGTATTTTAGTTCCTAATGTATCCTGCAAGATGCGAGTTTTTGTTTGAATTGTTTTAACTTGTCCTATTTCTATTGCACTTGGTGCCTTAACTGTTCTAATCTTGTCATATTTTATTGCACAGTAAGCCGCCATGAGCCCGCTTGCGGGGAGGGCAGGGTATAAGTGAAATAAAATAAATAAATAAACACATTGTGAGCAAGAATTCTACTTTGTGAGCAACTGGCATTGAAGCTGTGAGCGGGCGATTTGGTCTGCCGCATAAATTAGTTGGCTCCGGAGCCCTCCTCCCTGAGCGAAGACAAAACTCTGTGAGCTAGAGGCTCAACAACTGTGAGCTAGCTCACACTAACTCAGCTTCGAGGGAACCTTCAGAAAAAGCCGAACTCTTTTTAGGACTGCCCCTCTCCGGGAGTCTCTGAGAGCCTCCAGAGCCAGTCTACTCAGGAGTAAGATTCAGGTGGGGTCGCCGTGTCGGTCTGAACCGGCAGGACAAAGTTTGAGTCCGGTGGCACCTTTAAAACCGACAAAAAAGTTTTGCTCAGGATATGAGCTCTTCGTGGGCCTGCTTGAATCAAACTTTGTTATGCCTCCTTGGATTTAAAAAAAAAACCCGTGTTGGGTCTTACAGGCGCCGCTGGACTCGAACTCGGTTCTACTCAGAAGTCAGTCCCACATTATCTAGTCGGGCTTTACTCCCAGGAAAGGACCGCGGCGTTTGATTCCCGGACCCC